TGTTCTACCAAATTAAACAATGCCTAGAAGACGGTGAAACATTGTGATGCGTGGTATGTTCACGCAGCCGAATGAAACATTATACAGAGTGGATTTTTGCTCAGGCGACATAAATATTTAGTGGTTATGGCTATCTTGTAAAGAACAAATCACAAAGATGTGATTGGTAGAGATGCCGAGATGCCATTCCAGAAACTAAAGACACACTTTAAAAACATTGCTTGGGGATAATGGTGGTGAATTTAACGATGCAGAAGTCAAGAAAATTGTTGCGAAACATGGAGTATGTCAAAGATTTAGTGCTCCAAATACTCCTCAATACAACGGTGGTGCTGAAAGGGAAAACAGAATCTTTGTAGAGATGGCAAGAACATTTATGAACTCCAAAAAATTTGTTGAATTTTCAAAGTCGCTATGGGCAGAATTTGTAAAATCTGCTATATACATTTTAAGTGGAAAGAAAAATCATCCGTAGAAGATTAAAAGATTTACGAAGAAGTTAGTCGATGTCCTAAATCAATAAAAAAGGTTTTTGTGTACCCTCCCCTTAAGAAATAACCTTTGGTTTGTCTATTCATTTTTCTGTAATATATTCAAGTCGTATTCCCAGAACTTCTAGTGAATTAAAATCCGCTAAACAGATTTTCCAGAAAATTTCCAAATATGCTACAGCATCGCCTAAAAGTAACATAGGCTACTTAATATTTTGAAATTCCACTTGAAAGTGGGGATATTGCTTCAGAATCGGAGGTAACTCCAAATAATTTAGATTTTTTTATGCAGTTATAGATACAGTCTTCAAATTTGGAATATGTAACGAAACTTGGTACAAAAATATATTGGCCAAATTGCATTGAAATCGGTTCAGATTTGGATATAGCTCACATATAGGTTTTCGGCCGATTTCACATATCTAATGCTCCAAACAGGATATTTATGTCTAATTTCAATGAAATTTGGAATAACCAACAGAATTTAGTACAAAACATTATATTGAAATCGGTGAAGGTTTAGGCATAGCTCCCATATATATATTTCGGGCGATTTTATGCACAAAACGCGTATGTATCTTCAATTTAAGCAAAAAGTATGTAATGAAATTCGGTACAAAAATATATTTGCTAAATTATATAGAAATCGGTTTACATTTCCATATAGCTTCCTCATACATCTTCGTTCGATTTCATATATTTGATGCACCTAATACACTATTTATCTCCAATTTCAATGAAATTTGGAATGTGTGACGGAATTTGATCTGAAAATAAATTTTGACAATTTATATTGTAACCGGTTCAGATTCGGATATTATTTTACTAAGACCTATATCGCTTTGCTATGGTACTTTGCAACCAGGAACAAGTAAGAAAGCAGCTAAGATCGGCGGGCCGAACTTTTAATACCATCCTCCATTTGGAAGGAACTAGAAATTTTTCAAAAAAACTTCCGGAAACTACCACTTAAATGAAAACTGTTATAGGGAGACTGGTTACGAAATTTTTTGTCACAGGCTGTAGTGCCCATTACGAACTTCAAATACCAAATCTGAAACAATTCTGGAGAATAATGTTGCTAAAATCATCAAAATACCAAATATCGGGAGCTACCGTTATATGGGGGCTATACGAAGACGTGGACCTGCACATTACAAACTTCAAATAGGAAATTTGAAATAATTCCGGTAAACAATGTCGCTAAAATCATGAAAATATCGAATATCGCGAGGTACAGTCATGTGGGTGCTATACGAAAGCGTGAACCGACATGGTCCATTTACGAACTTAATCTGCATACTGGTCAAATATGCATGGATGCAAAATTGTAGCCTTCTATCTCAATTCGTTCGAAAGTTAGCAGACAGACGACATCGCTAGATCGTCTTAGAATTTCGCGCTGATCCAGTATATATTTACGTTTTAGGGTCTTTTATTAATATTTAGAGGAGTTGCTAAGGGAATGACAAAGTTAATATAAAAGGACTACACAACAATTTAGTTGATGCTACGATTACTACAGGGAATACGCTTGGTATTTGCTATGACATTTAATACATCCCAAGAACAAACTCTTCGTGTATGCGGACTAAATTTAGCATGTTCCTGCTCACGGTGACATGTTTACGTGTTGGTAGTTCAATCGAAAAAAACATAGAAATTGTGTATATCCTAAAATATTACAATAAATACGTTTTTAAACTCTTGACATAATTTTACTTTTATTTAGAAACACAAAATATTCGTATATAACATTTTGAATGCATACAATATACCACTGCTCTACTATTCTTAAAATTATTCGAATAAAATCTATCTTGTGTTACAAATTCCTAAACTTTTAAAGGAGTATTAAATAATTCAAAAGAATCTTTAATTAAATTATAATTTGACACAGCATCTCCTTCGAAAACCTCTAGTAAGGCCAAGAATTGATCTCGAACTCCAAAATTGGGATCAAAATAACGCACAACAAGGACTATGCATTTTTTATGGACCAGTCCACAATTAATGAACATTTTGCAATGTAGATATTGTATCTTCTTCTTGCTTTCTCAACAATATATTTAGTAATTTACGTCGATTTTGTACTTCCATAGTTTACTAGTTTTGCAATTGCAGAACATTCCATTAAAAATGCCGGCAAATAGTCCATTAGTATAAATGGTCGATTGTGCGTTATGCAAAAAATAACAAGAGTATACTCGATTAAAAAAACACTTGAGAAAAAAGTCCCTATCTGCATATATTTTTCCTGCTGCCGTAGTTTTGAATGTGCAAGATTTTTTTCGTGACCCATTAAATGAGTTAATGGTTAGGAGGTTAAGAATTCACACAATACACAGAAATATTTCCGATCGAATTTGGCAGAGAGTTACCAAAACGGCACTGAACGTACTGAACGTATCATAAATTAATATTTAATTGAAATAAAACTAATAAAAGCAACAAAATATAATAATAAATTCTGTAAATAATAAAATGAAGAAAAATATAAAAATAAAAAATATCAATATATTTTTAACTATATAAAAATATATTGTTGTTCGTTGGTAATGGAATCAGTTGAGAACGACTGGACCGATTAGCATAATTTTTTGTGCAAACGTTCGCCATACCCCGAGTTAGGTTTTTAAATAAAAAATAATATTGGCCAGGCCTACTTTTACTCCCACTATTTCGATTTATCTAAAATCCGAATGATAATGAATATATCGGATTGAAAATTATTACACGAGATACTCTTGACTTTCCATCCAACACTAAGTATTTATTTGGGGGCTAAGGAACTGACCACGCCTACTTTTTAAAACATACAACTGACAAACCAAATGTCGTTAGTTGGATATTTTTTTACGAATGTTCGTCATACCCAGACTTAGAGGAAAGATCAATTTACCATGCCTACTTTTTGGAATATAGTGTTTCAAATCACAACGTTTCTAAAAACTTAAAAAAATTACAAATCTTGTTTCAACTACGATGTTTGTACGTTTGATTGTTTGTTTGCAATTTATAGGCTCAAAACTGCTGAACATAATTTCCTATAAGATAAAAATAGCATGGCCTGAAAGTAACACAGGCTACATATAGGCTGAAATTCCACTGGGAACTGGATATATAGCATCAGAATCGGAGTTACCACCAATTCAGATATACAGATTTTTACAAAATTATATTGAAATCGTTTCAGATTTATATGGGGCTATACAAAGACGTCGACCTGCACAGACAATTTCCTGTCATAGGCTGTAGTATCCATTACGAACTTCCAATACCAAATTTGAAACAATTCTGGTGAATAATGTTGCTAAAATCATCAAAATACCGAATATAGGAAGGTACCCTTATATGGGGGCTATACTAAAACGTGGACCTAAATGGTCCATTTTCAATACCAAAAGTCCTGCAGACATAATATACATTTGAGTAAAATTTTATCAACCCACTTCATTTCGTTCGGAAGCTAGAGTGATTTCCACAGACGGTCAGACGAACGGACATTGCTAAATCGACATAGAATTTTATTTTGATCAAGAATATTTATTCTTTGTGGGGTCTAAAATGTATATTTCGAAACGGAATGACAAATATACCCGTCATACTTTGGTGGAGGGTATAAAGAATCGCCAACTCATCATTATATGGTGGCACTATTAAATAAAGGCTATACCATAATGTAGACCTGCACAGACAATTTCCTGTCATAGGCTGTAGTATTCGATACGAATTTCAAATACCAAATTTGAAACAATTCCGGTGAATAATGTCGCTAAAATCAACAAAGTACCGAATATCGGGAGGTACAGTTTCATGGGGGCTATACGAAGACGTGAACCTGCACAGACAATTTTCTGCCCTATGTTGTTGTATCCACTTCGAACTTCAAATACCAAATTTGAAACAATTCCGGTTCGCTAAAATCGTCAAAATACAGAATATGGGGGCTATACCCATTGTCAATACCAAAAGTCCAGCAGACGTAATATACATTTGAGTCAAATTTTATCAATCTACTTCCTTTCGATCGGAAGCTAGAGTGATTTTCGCAGACATCGCTAAATCGACATAGAATTTTATGCTGATCAAGAATATATATACTTTCTTGGGTCTAAAATATATATTTCGAGGTGTCACAAATGGAATGACAAACTTAATATACCCTCCATACTATGATGGATGGTATAAAAAGTTATTAAAGAAAATATTTATATTGGAGTCAGTTTGTTCAAATATAAAGAAGTATTCAGTATACTTCTTTATATTTGAAAACGACTTATAAGAATTTTTAATAGAAACAAAATTATAATCGCTCGATAAAGGTAGGTAAAATTAACATAGTTCGTTTGAGAGTATATTTTTCGCAGGAACTGATGCAGAGAAAGATAAACAATAAAAAACTGTAAATTCTGCCGAACTCTGAATACCTAATAAAAATTGTGTTAAAATCTTAATAATACCGAATGTATTAGGGTCTATACGACGACGTAAATACGAAATTCTTCGATCTGGCAACCCTAATTCTATTTCCTAAATTTCGAGTCGATCCACAAGCTTTGCTTTTGTTTGTGTCGCTCAATTACTCAAAATGTCCGTTTGTGTCCTATCTGTGGCTTTTCAATTTTCCTTTTTCCTCAATAAAATCACTTGTAAACCAACCTACAATCACAACTGTTGTTATTGGTAAGCGCCGTTCAAATTTTCCAATTTGAATTCTAAATAAAGAACCATACTTGTTCTTTTCCCCAACATCAAACTTATTCCATTGTTTTATTTCTTTTTCTTCCATTTTTTCAATCCCAAACCGAGAGGAAAATATTTCTACTCCAAGGAATATTTTTCTGTCCACAAACAGCAGAATAACAATCCAGCATTTTCTAGGAAAATACCCACAATTTTGGCATTTTCATTTGGTCCTGTTCGAACCGGATTTTATTGCTGTTTTAATTTCCATTTTTCATCTAAAATCAAGGTAAGTGTGTGCTTATATTATCCAGTGAACGTCAATAGTGCATAAAAAAAAAGAAACACATTAAACTTGAGTGCGTTAGTCAAAGTGTGTTTTGCCGTCGGCAATTTGATTTTTTCTTTTCTATCTAACGCACAGTGTTTCTATTTAGATTTCGAAAATTATTAATTTTTTCAGTATAATTTCGAATAATTTCAAATCCAATATTAAATATTCCCATAATTCTCCATATTTTTCTAAGATTTTAATAAATAAAGTGAAGAGATATTTCATTTATTATTTCAATTTTCAATAATATAAATTCCTATTTAATTTTCTTATTCGCCTATTTCTTAACTCGCGACAGTGTGTTTTCTTCTCATTTTTTTTCCTTTTCGTTTTGCCGCGAAAATATTGCATTTTTTCTATTATCCATAGCTGTTTGTTTTTTTTCATTATTATTGTTGTTGTTGTAAGAGAACCCTCGCTGAATCTCTTCAACAACATCAATACCTACATACAGTCACTCATATTTCCACTTGTTGTTGAGTCGTTCGTTCGCTCAGCCAACACAAGCAGCGCTCTGTTGTGTCATTCCACTCAACAGTGATCGGTTATTTTTCTGTTGGTGTTCTCTTCGCTTGTACGTGCACCCTACCGTCGTTCCGTTTATATGGTCGCACTTTTCATAGTTTGCGACACATATTATTTTATATATTATTCGCACATATACCGGTGGGACTATTCAACCACCTTTGTTCCTCTTGGTATTTAGTGCATATTTTTCGCCGCTAGGTGTCGCCCTGTATATAAGAAGGTAGCTGTGAAATAATTAATTTTCACATTTTTTCGGAAAATTTTTAAACTTTTTTGTGACCTTTTGATATACTGTCCATATATTCGAGAAAAAAATTAGCCCTGGTCTATTAATAGTACATCCTGTTTCCGCCAGAGGTCGCTCGTGACATTGAAAAATATTCTTGAAAGTTTACGTTTATTCACAATTTCCCAATTTTCTTGCGAAAGGACATTCGATTTGGGTTATTTCAAAATACTTTCAGAGTTTTTTCGCTTGTTTTGGTTTTTAGTACTTCCTATCGCCGCTGGAGGTCGCTTTTCAAATAGAAAGTAGATACAAATTTTCCATTTTTCTCCGAATTTTGCCGAATTTTTCTGATTTTCGCCATATTTAAGCAGATATATTTCATATTTTCCTACTCTATATTCTTGAAAGGGCTGCAAATACTTAATTCTTTCCTTAAAGGGCATAGAGAATATCAACTTGTCTCAGATCTTTCTTCGATTTCTGAGAAATTATGTCGTTGGATTCCTTTATTCGTAACGCAGATCACCTAGTCGCATTTAATGCAGGTGTCAGCGATGGTAATATTCCTCTAACGTCATCCCAATTAATAAAAATTCATATTTCCGAATTTAAGTCCCTATGGGAAACTGTGAAATCCTCATTCGAGCGATTCATGATCGATCGGGAAAATGAAGGGGATGAGGAAGATGGTGATGAAGATACTGCTTCTGAGTTGGAGACCTTCAAAGCTAAGTACAACAGTACGTACGTGACCTATTGTACATGTTTAGCCAAGTTGACTCAGCTTCTGGAGGATTTTCAGTCTCAAGCAGCTCCAAAAGAACCCACAACTTCTCCGCAATCATTACCATTCCAAAGTCCTACCTCTGTTATCCATCCCGATCATAGTTCAAGTTATTCTTTTAACATTCCACCATGCGACACCGAAGTCTTTGATGGAGATTACATGTCATGGCCAACATTCCGAGACATGTTCACGGCCGTGTACATCAAAAATTCCAGGCTCAGTCCAGTTGAGCGCTTATTCCATTTGACCCAGAAGACTAAAGGTGAAGCACGTGATATAGTCCAAAGAGCTCCCTTGACTAATCAAGGTTTCCAGCTAGCGTGGCAGAACCTATGTTCCCGTTTCGAAAATAAGCGCATTCTTGTGAATGGTCAGCTGAAAGTTTTATTCAATCTTCCGTTTTTAAAATCCGAATCAGCTAGTGCCATTATGTCAATGCAACGTGATATCAACTCCTGTATTGATACACTTGCAATGTACGAGATCGATGTTAGAAGTTGGGATCCGATATTTGTATTTCTCTGTTCCAATCGTCTTCCAGACTCAACTCTGACCCTGTGGGAACAAGGTTTATCTGATAAAACAGCTATTCCAAAGTGGGTAGACCCTTGACTCCTTTCTCACCAATCGGTATCGTACACTTGAGTCCGTTTCCGAGATGCGTAACCATCCAAAGTCTGATGAAAGTAAAGCGAAATCCATTTCACATTCAAAAGGTTCAAAATGCAGTTCATTCCAGACTAAAGTTTCGGTTCCGAAATGTCCATTGTGTGCGAATTCTTCACATATCATTCGGAAGTGTCCAAAGTTCATTGCCATGGACATAAGGCAGCGCACATCCGAGGTAAAGAAACAAGGTCTGTGCCTCAATTGTTTCTCGAAAACGCATCACGTACGAAATTGTACTAGCAAAAACAATTGCTTTGAGTGCCAAAAGAGACACAACACAATGCTTCATGTTCATGTCCATTCACCCACTCTTCCTTCCACCTCCAACAGTAATTCCACTTTGAACTCCAACTCTGTTCCATTCACTCCTAATTCCTCACAGTCCACTAGTTCTGGGAACGGAGTCATTCAATCTTGCTTCTCTGCAAGTTCAAGGGGAGTTTTATTGGGGACTGCGTTAGTAAATGTGCTACACCTGGGAGTCTCTTATCCAGCACGTGTTCTGCTTGATTCTGGATCTCAGGGAACCTTTATCTCCGAAAGATTTTTCAATAAATTAAAACTTCCATACCAGCGTACGAATGTGCAGATTTCCGGCCTTAATAATACCACTGCTGCTTCCGTTCGAAAATCATGTTCCTTAAATCTATGTTCAAGATTTGATAATTCCGTACGTGTCTCGGTCCAGGCATTTGTAGTTCCACATTTATCTGGAAACCTTCCGTCGCATACCTTGCCTCCTTCACTATTTTCTCTGCTTCCGAATATCAATCTTGCTGATCCACATTTCTACAAGAGCTCCAATATTGATCTGTTGATAGGCGGTGATTTCATTCCGGAAATCATGAGATCCGGACTAAAGCCTAATCTCTGTGATTCTTTAATCGGCCAAGAGACCATATTTGGATGGATCCTCACGGGTCCAATACCTACATCCACTCCGTCTCCATCATCCATAGTGATCTCCAATTTCTGCGAGATTTCTCTTGATAAAGAAATTAGTCGTTTCTGGGAGGTGGAGAATCTTCCAAGGAAAAGATTTTATTCCGAATCCGATGAACTTTGCGAGCGTCTATTCATGTCAACTACATCAAGAAATGAAGATGGCAGGTATATTGTTCGCCTTCCTTTCAAGGATGGATTTCCAGATACAATTCGTTTTGGACAATCCCGCCCAAGCGCTCTCTCACAGTTCCTTCGTAATGAGAATCGCTTAATCCGAAATCCAAAGTTGAAGAAAGAGTATGACCAGGTTCTAGACGAGTACATACAACTAAATCACATGAATTTAATTCAAGCTCCGAGCTGTAACAATGATTCCTTCCATTACTACATGCCTCACCACGCAGTTTTTAAGCCAGAAAGTTCGACCACTAAAGTTCGAGTGGTTTTTAATGCATCTTCTGCTTCTTCTAATGGTCGAAGTCTCAACGATCTTTTGCATACTGGTCCAGTATTGCAGAATGACTTGACCACGTTGATTCTCAAATGGCGATTTTTCCGATATGTGTTCAACGCTGATATCCAGAAAATGTACCGTCAGATCCTAGTTCATTCTGATCATACTCCATTCCAAAGAATAGTCTTCCGCAACCACCCAGGTGATATCATTCAAGATTTTGAGCTACAAACTGTCACATTTGGTGTCAATTGTGCTCCGTATTTAGCTATCCGCACTCTGCTTCGACTAGCTGATGACGTCCAAAGTAGCCATCCAAAGGCTAGCATGATAATTCGTAATTATATGTACGTGGATGATGTACTTTCCGGTGCACATTCAATTTCCGATGCTCTTCAATCCAGAAATGAGCTTAAAACCGCTCTAGCATCAGCTGGCTTCTCCCTTCGAAAATGGACAGCGAACTCAATGGATATTCTAGCGGATCTTCCAAAAGATCATTTGTTGTGTGATTTCCTAAACTTCGACGACTGTAGCACAGCAAAAACGCTAGGAATTCGTTGGAACGCTCGTTCAGATTCATTTTTCTTTTCGACAACGCCTTTTCCATCTTCGTGTTCCTACACAAAAAGGGAGATTCTTTCTCAGATCTCCAAATTATTTGATCCTGCTGGCTGGCTTTCGCCATGTATTGTCGTGGCAAAAATAATAATGCAGCAGATTTGGTCCGATGGTACTGGTTGGGACGAAGTCATAAGTCCAGGCACCTTGCACCAGTGGAAAAGGTTTCAATCCGACTATTCAAGTATTGATCGAGTCAGAATTCCGAGATGGCTCCAATATGTCCCCTTTGCTGAAGTTCAGTTTCATGGATTCTGCGATGCTTCTGAAAAAGCTTACGCAGCCGCTTTATATGTGCGAATAGCTAACGGTACCTCCATATTCACCCACCTGGTGTATTCCAAAACAAGAGTTGCTCCAGTGAAGACACTGTCTATTCCAAGACTAGAACTATGTGGAGCTGTCCTACTGGCAGAAATGATCGACGTACTGCTCCCAACGCTCGATATTCCCAACTACTCCGTATTCTGCTGGTCAGACTCCACAATAGTTCTTTCCTGGCTTTCCAAACCGCCATGTCATTGGTTAACATTCGTAGCCAACAGAGTTTCCACTATCATTCAAGTGGTAGACCCTTCCAAATTCCATCACGTTCCGTCCGAATCAAATCCTGCTGATTTGGCAAGTCGCGGTCTGTCACCTCAAGACATCGTTCAAAATGATCTATGGTGGTTCGGACCTTCTTGGCTTCGGGAATCCACAAACCGATGGCCAGACCGTGTTCATATTCAAGAAACGTGTGTGGAACGTAAACCCCTGAAGGTTCACTTTTCATACTTCGAAGATTCCGCCGATATTCTTGAAAACTTTTCTTCCTATCCACGTTCGCTTAGAGTGTTTGCGTATATTCATCGATTCTTCCGCCGAACACATCCACGACTTCGCGCTAATTTCATCGAGAATACTCTACTTGTTTCCAGTTCTGAAATACTTGTGGCGCGAAATCTACTGATCAAATGGTACCAGAAATTTCATTTTCCTAATGAGTACAAGGCATTATCCTGCAAGCAGCAAGTTTCACCATCAAGTTCCATTTTAAGTCTAAATCCATTCCTAGACTCCGATGGTGTAATCCGTTCCTGTGGGCGATTAGATTCTTCTCCAAGTATTCCATACGAGGAGAAACGCCCAATCATCCTTCCATACAGCTGCAAATTTGCTCGGCTTTATGTTGATTTTGTTCATAAAATCACTATACATGGAGGAAATCAATTAGTTCTTCGAGTAATAAGATCCCAGTATTGGATTCCTAAAGTCAAGAACCTCATTAAAGCTTCTATCCATAAATGCAAGCCTTGTATCCTGTATAAGAAGCGCTGTCAGAAACAGATAATGGCTGCTCTTCCTCCTGAACGTACAGAGCTTACTCGTGCATTTTATCGCACTGGACTAGATTTTGCTGGTCCCTTCGATATTAAAACTTATTGCGGACGCTCATGCCGTATAACAAAGGGATACGTATGTGTGTTCGTATGTTTTTCCACTAAAGCAATACATCTCGAAGCAACGTCCGATCTTTCCACTTCCACCTTCTTGGCAGCATTTCATAGATTCGTCTCTAGACGAGGATGTCCTGCACATCTTTATTCCGATAATGGTACAACGTTTGTGGGAGCGTCCAAAGTCCTGGCGAAAGAGTTTATTCAAGCTTCTCGTTCCGCTGTTATCTCTAATTATTCCGTGCAAAATCTTAGCTGGCACTTCATTCCGCCTGGGGCTCCTCATATGGGAGGGCTCTGGGAAGCCGGGGTTAAAAGTTTCAAAACCCATTTCAAAAAGTTTGCCGGCTCATTCAAGTTTACGTTCGAAGAATTTCTAACGCTTCTGACCAGAATTGAAGCCTGTTTGAATTCTCGTCCTCTCTCTCCTATTTCCTCTGAGCCAACAGATTTTGCCGCATTAACTCCTGGCCACTTTCTAATAGGCACGCCTATTTTAGTCCCTGTTGATCCACACCTAGAAGACAGTCCAATTTCATTAATCAACAGGTGGCAGCGACTAAAAGCAATCCATCAGAGTTTCTGTGCTCGTTGGAAGACTGAATATCTCCGAGAACTCCAAAAGCGTTATAAATGGCAAACATGTGAGAAGGACATTGAAGAAAACACACTGGTCGCAATTTATGATGATAATCTTCCGCCAAATTCCTGGCGCCTTGGTCGAGTTTGCAAGACTTATCAAGGTTCCGATCATCATATCCGTGTTGCAGATATTATAACTCAAAAAGGGGTTATTACACGCCCTATCACTAAGCTTGTCGTCCTTCCAAGCCACTAAATTCATATTTTCTTCTTTCCCTTCTCTGTCCTTTTGTCCGCATTCTATTTAGAACCATGCCCAAACATTCCGCCCCCAAAGGTCAGCGCAACCACAACAAAGCCCCATACCAAAATGGGAAATTCTTGTGCCGGCTCTGTCAGCGTCCCCATTCCTTACGTCGGTGCCATAAGTTCCTGGATATGGACATGACGGAACGGTTCGAAGTGGTGCGCAAGCACAAATATTGCGTGAATTGTTTGGCCCTGGACCATTCCCATGGTTCGTGTTTCAGTGACACCGGCTGTCGCCACTGTCACAAGTACCACCACACACTGCTCCTCGTGGATCCAAAGCTGCGGGCCCAAATCCTTCCACCATCTCCTAAGTCCCGATCGGAATCTAGGTCGGTTTCACCGCGACCATCAACCTCTAAAGCTCGGCGAGTACCAAACAGGCCTTCATCGTCCTCAGCAACTTCGCATAACCCGAAGGGATCTCTCACATCCCTGATCCAGCAAAATCGGACCATTTTGCTACCCACCGTCCTGGTAAGGATAGATGCAAAGAATGTGGCGCGATGTTTGTTGGATTCCGCCTCTCCAGTAAGCCGTGTGTCGAGGAGCTTTGTGGAGAAAATTAAAGTCAACACCTTGACATTAAGAGAGGAGACAGTGTGCCAATTGACTCTGTTCTCAAGATTTGACTCCAAAGTGAAAATCGAGGGCACCTTTCGCGTGGATAATCGGATCACCACAAAGACGCCAGCCGAATCCCTGCCCGACGACTTCAAAAAAAATTTCCCCCATCTTTTCTTGGCTGATCCGAAATTTTACCAGTCATCGGGAATAGATATCGTCATAGGCGTCGATATCTACCCGAAAGTAATTTCGGAGGGGGTGTATGCCAGGAATGGGTTACCAACTGCCCAAAGTACCGTTTTTGGGTGGGCCATCTATGGGCTATGTTCGTAAACATGTCAATTTTTTCGTTTTTAAAAATTTTGCCTGAGTTGAATTAATAAATTGTTGAATTCCTTAGAATGCACTATTGTCTTTCTTTCCCCAAAAAGCACAAACTTTCCTTTTCAGCTTGTACGTTCCGAAGCAGGTGCGAGTTCCTGATTCTATGTGGTCTGACGACAGAAACCTACATATGTATTTGGTCATCTTCATAAAATTATCCTAGTATTAAATTAAATTCATTTTCATTCCATTGCTTTTGTAACCAGACCAGGACATACACGGATCAAATTGATTATTTTCCATTGCAGACGCACTGCAAGGGGGCCGGTGATGTAAATACGAAATTCTTCGATCTGGCAACCCTAATTCTATTTCCTAAATTTCGAGTCGATCCACAAGCTTTGCTTTTGTTTGTGTCGCTCAATTACTCAAAATGTCCGTTTGTGTCCTATCTGTGGCTTTTCAATTTTCCTTTTTCCTCAATAAAATCACTTGTAAACCAACCTACAATCACAACTGTTGTTATTGGTAAGCGCCGTTCAAATTTTCCAATTTGAATTCTAAATAAAGAACCATAATTGTTCTTTTCCCCAACATCAAACTTATTCCATTGTTTTATTTCTTTTTCTTCCATTTTTTCAATCCCAAACCGAGAGGAAAATATTTCTACTCCAAGGAATATTTTTCTGTCCACAAACAGCAGAATAACAATCCAGCATTTTCTAGGAAAATACCCACAATTTTGGCATTTTCAGACCTGCATAGGCTACTTTTGTCAAAAGCTATTACAATACTCAAAAAAAATTAAAAAAGTATGTTTATAATGTAGCTAAGATCATCAAAATACCGAATATAAGGAGGTACCACTGGGGTTATAAAACGTGGACCTGCAAGGCAATCTTCTGGCATAGGCTGTAGTATCCATTACGAACTTCAAATGCCAAATTTGAAAAAATTTCTGGTGAATAATCATCAAAATACCGAATATCGGGGGGTACCCTTATATTGGGGCTATACGAAGACGTACGAAGACCTGCATAGACAATTTTCTATCATATGCTGTAGTATCCGTTACGAACTTAAAACACCAAATTTGAAATAATTCCGATAAATAATGTCGCTAAAATCATAAAAATGCCGACTATATTGGGTACCGTTCTTGAGGGCTATACGAAGACGTGGAGTTACATGTCATTTTCTATCTATTACGAGCTTCAAATACCAAATTTGAAACAATACCGATAAATTATGTCGCTAAAATCATCGAAATACTGCATTTTGGTAGTTACCGTTATATGGGGTTTATATGAAGACGTGGGCCTACATGGCACATTTTCAATACCAAAAGTCCCGCAGACATAATACACATTTGAGTAAATTTTTATCAACTTACTTCATTTCGTTCGGAAGCTAGAGTGGCTTCCACAGACGGACGGGCATTGCTAAATCGACATAGAATTTTATGCTGATCAAGAATATATATAATTGTGGGGTCTTAAATGTATATTTCGAGGTGTTACAAACTGAATGACTGAGTCCACTATGAGTCCACCAAGGACAACTACCAAATGACTGATGCTAGTTTATTAGGGACATTAAAAAATCGAAAAGTGCGGAGCCACACAGTGTCCGGATATAATCGCCATTGCAATTATTGGTTTTTTGTCTGGTTTTATTTTGGTCATAATCTCCTAATATTGTGGGGATTGTGCCCTCTTCTAAAACCGGACTTAATCCCCATGGGAGTTCCTACAGTATTATGTCCAAACAAAGATTAAATTGAAGTCATAATGTTTAGGCAAATTATGGATCGCGTAGCCTATGTTAGTCATACACCGGTGATAAAAATCACAAGCCCCGGCCGAAGGCCGCCTTCGTAAAAAAGTTATAAAATCAAGAAAAACTTTGGATCGCGTAGCCAGCGTCAGACGTACTCTGGAGGAGAAAAACTCAAGACTAGGTCGAGCTCCGACCACTTTTTAAAAAAGTAATGAAATTTAGAAAAACTATGGCTCGTGCACACATACTTCGGAGAAGAAAACTCAAGCCCCGGTCGAAGACTACTTAAAAGAGTTATGAGATTTGAAAAAAACTATGGATCACGTAAATCACGGTGTTAGATATACCCCAGAGGAATAAATCCGAACTTTCGTCAAATAACCGGTATTTCCAAAAAATAATAATAATAATAAAGAAATAAATAAAATGACAGTAATATGTTTACCGCCATTTATTGAATTCATTCCAGACTCACACCAGAGGAAAAACTTTATAATTTACCTACTAAAACTAAATGTGATGCTGGTAGATCGGTACCCATTATATGATCAACATTTTTCGTTACCATTGGAAGCTCTATCAGTGCGATACGAAAATGTAGGGTTTCGAAGTTTTGATTATTCTAAGTTTCGTGGTGATAAATTTGAAGGTAAGTCATTTAAAACTGGAGCCCAGACTTCCAGTTTAAAGCTAGGGTCGTATTTGGATCTCGTAGTAAACAAGCAAGATTTTATTAAATTCTCAGAAAAAAAATTGACTTAAGCAAGTGACATGAGCTAAGTTGTTCCGTGTAGGTAACTTCAAAAAGTTGTTCATCTTTTCAGAGATAAAAGTGGCTTCTTCTTGTCAAACAAAACAAGTCTCAATGACGTATTATTTCTTGGACACATTCTTCAATAGGATTTATTACAGTATTTTTCGGTTAATTGTACATCAGCATTTGCTTTTGTTTAATTGGAGAATTTGTTCAATTACAAGAATCCCGTTTAATTGAGCAGTTTGTTTAATTATAGAAATCACGCATTGCTGGAACTTTTAATTAAAAGAAATCGCATATGTAAATTTTTTGTTTTTTAATTTATTTATTTGCACATTATTTTAATAAAGATATACCATTTAAAAACTAAAAGAAAGAACAGAACAGTTCATATATAGGTTTTACAAGAAAGAACATAAACTTATAAAATAAAAACAATTCATATGCATATGGTGTTAAAAAAAATAATCATGTTGAACATATTCACACTTCTCGAGATCATTATTTAAAAAATAAAAGTAATCATGTTGTTCACATTTTAAAAGACTTACATGAAAAAGTCTGTAATTTTTGTTTGTGTATTTCTTGATTTATTTCAAAAACATAAGATATATATTACCTAACTCACATAGGAACTTGTTTTCGGTACAAAAAAATGTCTGAAGTTCTTGAATGTGTTTTAAATCTTTTAGAACTGATGGAGGTTTTGGATTATCATGTTCTTGCTCTTCCCCCTCAACTTCAGCCTCATCCAAAATATTTTCAATAATTTGCAAATCAGTAAGCACTCCATTACATTCTTCGTTGTCGTCATATGTTACGAATTCCTCAATTTCTTTTCTTAAAGTGTCCGCTATTTTAAACTCATCGGAACTTTCAATTTCCTGATTTTCTTCTTCGATAGTTTAATACCTTTTTAAAACAATTTTTAATAGATGTTGGTTTAACCATCCAAAAACTGCGCTTTATCATGCACATTGCATGTAGAATATTAATTGACTTTGAAAACTCTTCAACTGTTTTCCCTAGCTCCATAGGCACGAATTATTCCCTGATATAAGGGCTGGGTTATTGCTTTAGTTTTCGCTGGTGAAAACTGTAGATTTATGTGCTTTAAATTTTGGGGCTTCTTGTGGTCAGACGCATTATCTACAAACAGAACAATGTTCCGATTCTGTGAAGCCATTTCTTCTTCTAAATTGACCATAATTTCTCTCCATAGATCTGCTGTCATCCATGCTTTTTGATTCCAATATTATTTTAAGGACAATACTTTACCTTTCACACAACGTGGGTTTTTAGCCTTTCCAATTATAATAACTTTTTTTGTAGTTACCCGTGGCATTGCATATAAAAAGTAATGTTACGCGCTCCTTAGATGACTTCCAGTGTGTTACGGTGTTACGGTATCCCTGTTTGCAAAGCGTTTTTGGATGCAATGTTTTGAAAAAGAAAGCGCTCTCATCCGTGTTGAAAATGTCGGCCTCCTCGTATTCCGATAATATATTTGGTACAACTAAACTTAAAAATCTTCTGTCGCAGATTTTTGCTCTCCATGTATTTTTCTGAGCTTAATCCCTTGCCGCTGTTGCCAACCCAATAACCAACCTGTTGATGGGGGTAAAATCACAATTCATTTGTTGAGCTAACTGCTCCGCTTTTTCCATCAACATTTGTGTTGAAATCACTGCGCCAGATGATTGCATTTGTTCGAACCAAATGTGAAGCGCTCTTTCAATGTCAATATTGTTTCCATTCCACTTGGAGGCTTTTGACTTTATTTCGGACTCATTCCGCAAAATTCTATTCAATGTGGTAAGAGAGCACCCATACTTATTGCACAGCTCAGACTTCTCTTGCATTTAGCTTCAGATAATATTTTAAGTTTATCCTTAAGCGTAAGAGTTACGTATAGTTTCCCACTCATTTCCTACAAAAATTAACAATAAGTTAAAATTAATGTCCAAGGTTATTGTCAAATACAAATTAAACACATAGCTTCCTCACGGGGTTTCCTTAGCAATAAACATATGTTTTCAATCAGTAGAGTTGTCAGTTGTTTTTTTACAAGTGATGTCAAATATATATGTAAAAAATCAGATTATTTTTCAATAATAATTCAATTAAATGGCGAAAAGTACGAGGATATTTATTTTTGATGACATGAGTTTCGAACTAATTAAGCGGGAAAATCAATTAACAAGATTCAATTATACAAGGAAATTTACATGTGTTTTCCTATACTACTTTTTTTGCCTCATCATGTGGTTCAATTAAACGTGGAAACCAATTAACCGTAGGGTCAATTCACCGAAAAATACTGCATTGCAAATTTTAATATGGAGATTTTTCAAATGTGCCGTCAACGCAGATATAACAAAGAAGTATCGCCAAATACTTTTGAATTCAAAGCAAACAAAATATCAAAGAATTCTCTTTAGATCCATATTTAGCTTTGAGAACTCTTCTTAAACTAGCAGAGGATCTAAAAGAT